AAGAGGAGAGAGATAAGGGAGAGATTAAAATCGTACAAAGTATAACAGTATTTAATAAAAAAAGATTCCCATAAGAAAAAAAGTCCATTTTATATTTGTCCATTATTACAACAAAAAGTCCCAGTTAACAATATTCTGTAATCCATTGAAAAAATCCCAGTAAACTATCTTTAAGCGAATCTTTTAATGAAAATTATCCTTTTTCTGGGAAAATCAGTTATGAAAAGAAATCAAAATCCATTTTGTATTTGTCCAGTATTACAGCAAAAATTTCCCAGTTAACAGTTATATAATCCAATGAAAAAATCCCAGTAAACTATCTTTGAGTGAATCTTTTAATAAAAATTATCCTTTGCTGGGAAAAATCCGTTAAGAAATAAAAAAAAAAATCCATTTTGTATCTGTCCATTATTACAAAAAAAGTTCCCAGTTAACAACATTCTGTAATCCATTGAAAAATCCCAGTAAACTATCTTTGAAAGAAATCTTTTAATAAAAATTATCCTTTTCTGGGAAATCGTTTAAAAAAACAATATCCATTTTTGTACTTGTCCACTATTACAATAAAATTTTCCCAGCTAATACCGTTATGTAGTCCACTGAAAAAATCCCAGTCAGCTATCTTCAAGAAAAATCTTTTAATAAAATTATCCTTTTCTGGGAACATTGTTTTGTAATGTTTTCTTTTCCCTCCCATATAAAAATAGGAGTTAAGCTTATATCCCGATCACTTTCGCGAAAATAAATTAAAAGCTATAATTAACGCTCCTTCATATCTTTAATTTAAATTTTTTTTCTTTTGTGCATTTATTTCATTTATCCCCTCACCCTCCCAAGTAAAGAAGTAAAGAAACTCTCTAGAATTAATCCGTTTTGGAATTAATCTATTGAGGAATAAATCCTAACCCTCAATTATAATTTTGCAATTAAATTTTACATTTTAATCCATTTTAACTTAAAAAACGTCGATATGAATTATATGAGAGAAGAGGAAATGTCAACTAATGAAACAACATTAAAAGATTTAAAATTAGAGACTGACGACGAAGATTACGACACTTGTCATTCTGAAGAGTCAGAAGTTGAAGAGGACGATGATAAAAACAAACAATTCAAATTAACACTCACAAAGTAACTGGTAACCCAAAGTAACCCTCCTTTCCTTTTCCATCCACACTTTCCATCCATTTTTACCTCCAATAATGTCCCTTTCGTTTTTTTTTCAATAAAAACAAAAGAGAATTACCACCTATCCTACCGCATATTTTTCAAATTGTAATTAAAATTAAATAAAATTTTTTTAAGGTCTGTCATTTGGGAAATTTTTTTTTAAAATAATAATCCATTTATATTAAAAATTTTCCTCTTTAGCATTTGTCCCAGTCAAGGTACTTCCTTGCATCAATATTTGTCCTAGTCAAGGTAATTCCTTGCATCAGCAATTCATATCCGTTATCCTTGAATCCAATTAATAAAAAAAAATCCATTGTATTTTAGGTCCAATATTTTTATTTAAAATTTTTCCCAAGGCAGACCAATAAATTTTAATACGGTTGTAAAGAAATCCATTAGAATTAATTTATAATTAAATTTATATAATTAATCTAATTGAGAACGAAAATTTCTTTCAAAATTTCAACTCCCCCACTCCCCAGTACTTGTTTAAACAAACCAAGTCAGACAAACAATTTTCAAACCCACTAGTAAAGAAATCCATTAGAATTAATTAGAATTAATTTCGAATTAATCTAATTGAGAAAATCCACGCCGCCCTATTTCATAAAAATTCATAAAAATTCTCCTCACTTCCTTTCTCCACTTCAAACCATTATCCTATCCAGATGATCGTGAATACAACCTTGATGGAGCAAATGCGTATCTCCAAATACCTTACTCACCTAACCAATTAACATATCGTTCAGACACCTGGTCCTCCTGTTTACCTTTAGTTCTTTCCGAGTATGAAACCCCACAGTCCATATTAATGAAACAAATACTAGGTCTAGATCGAAACCCACCTCTTAAAAACACACGCGATCTATGTTATGCTATGTTCGCATGTGAAGATGAGAATCCCCCAAATAACGAACAATTACAGGCAATAGATCTAACACTCAACCCAACCCCCTCAGTCATAGTCACTTTAGCACCTCCCGGTACCGGTAAGTCCAGAATTGTTTCCATGATGGCACTTGAGCTCATGAAAAGTGGAAAGACTCCAATGATCATTGCACACAGCAACTTAGCTATGAGCAAGATCGTTGAATATATTTGTCCCGAACTAAGTAAAATTAACAAAACCGCACTTATCCTCCTCTCCGCCCGTGCAAAAGAATTTATGGATCTTTTCGAAGACTTTAAGGAGCACTTATTGATTGCCTCTCTTAAAGAAATCGAAATAGAATCCCTAGGTAATAAGGACAAGAGAACTGCCCTCAGATATAAGGAAAAAGCATTCACAAAACCGAAAATGGCTGATGAGAAATCCACAGCCATGATCGTTTTGGAAGCGGACAATAAACCCTCAACCAAGTTATCAACCGTTTCTATGTGTGAAGACATCCCTGCACTAATCGCTGACACAACCCACCTTTTCCTAGATGAATCCAGCCAAACACCAATTAACCAAATAATTCACATACTAACCTACGCAACCCAACTCGAGAAGATATTTATCACTGGGGATCACAAACAACTCGGTGTTTATAAAGAAGATGTACCAAAATTCCTACATCCTCTTGGCTTTGACTCAATCATCTCTCACGCACTTTCAATCCCCTCCATTCCCAAAGTTCAGTTAGTAAAATCCTATAGATCCCACCCAGTAATTACCAAAATAGTAGCCGATACCTTCTACGAATCCGAGCTAATCCCTGGAATCATAGAAGAGCAAAGATCCCAAGCACTTTCCTTCCCCTTCCCGGTTAAAAACATTCCAATTCTCCTAGTTGATACACCAGAGAAAGACGAACGAGATAGTCGATCCTTCTCTCGGTTTAACACTTCACAAGCACAGATAGCACGCACAATAACAGAGAAATTCCTGGAAACCACTGATTTAAGAATAGTAATCCTTTGCCTTTATAAGAAACAAGTTGATGAAATTAGAAATTTTAACCTCCCCCGCACTTCTTGCATTACAGTGGATGCTTTCCAGGCCAGAGAGGAGGAAATAGTCATTTTAGTTACGACCAAAAAGATGCCGGATAACTTAAATGACTATAAAACCTCCCTTGCCTTTATAAATAACCCACAAAGAGTCGCAGTCGCTATTTCACGCTCAAGGCAGGCATTTTGCCTAATTGGAGACTTTGAAACACTGCGAAAATGCGACTCTTGGAGGAAATTTATCGATAATGCTTCTAAATTTACACCTATAATTAATAATTCTTTTTTATTTAGTCAAACCGCACCACCTGGAACTCAACCAACCCCATCTACTGGCCCACAACACAAACCGACTCCTGGAACTCAACCAACCTCGACAACTGACCCTACATCAAAACCGACTACTGGCCCGACTCCAACAACAAACAAACCTACTCATGACCCACAACCGAAACAACACCCAACCCGACTACAACAACAACCTCCTCTTCCTCAATTCAAAAATAAACAACAATTCCAACACCAACAACAAACCAAACCTGCCCATGAACCAACAATGCCACCACCAAAACGACCCTATATGCCGTCTGCCTCTTCCAATCCACATATGCGACAACACAATCAACCACCTCAATTGAAAAGCGTAAATCCAATTATAAATCCCCCCGTTTCTCTTTTCGATAATAAATCTTTTGTTTCCTCTTTATCTTCTCCACAATTTAATATGCCTCAATCTTTTAATCCCCCAAATTTTGTTCAATCTAAATTTCCACCACATCAATTTAATTTCTCTCAATTTTCTCCCCAACCTAATATTTCATCAAATTTTTACAGTAATTATAATACCCCCTCTACTTCACAATATCCCCAAAATTTTTCAAATATAAAATTCTTTAATAATGCATATTGGCAATGGGACAATGTCGAGAAAAAATGGTATCAAGTCCCCCCTCCACCATCCCACTAAACCCCCCTCACCCCTTTAACCCTTAAAAGTTAGTAGAGAATAAAAACTCTATAAACTTTTCTACCCTCATCCCCCCTTCAATCCACTTCTCAACCCGCCTCCACCTATCCGCCCTTCTACACCATCCCCCCTCTACACCATCCCCCCTTCTACACCATCCCCCTTCTACACCACCCCCCTTCAACCCCCCTCCTATCCCCTGTGAGTAAGGTCTTTCAGATGGCCCAAAAAAGAATTGGTAACCATCTGATCGAGTACAGCGCTTTGCCCTAATTTTCAAACAAACGGGGACCAATTAAGTTTGTGTCACCATTTGTAAACCCCCGTTCTCTGTCCTGTCCCCCCTCACGCCTTCCCTATCCCCCTACAAGAAAATCTCGTCAAACACTCTTTTAAGCGCAGGGTCGCGCTTATTAGAGGTTGGGAGATGTAACGGACCCGACCCCACAGACTCGATACACACTATTCTCGACATTTCCAAATCCACCCCCGGACTCAAATATACATTTATCCATTTTTCCAAGCTCTGTTTATTCTTTCTCTCCTCCCCCACACATATCCATTTTGTATTTTATTATTATTAAAACTCCTCCCCCTTTTTCATTCAACACAAACCAACAACTCTTCAGTTGTTGAAATGGTTATTAGTTGAAATGGTTGTTAGTTGAAATGGTTGTTAATTGAAATGGTTGTTAATTGAAGAGTTGTGGTTAAAGGCGTTTGGATTTTGATGGATCGATGAAGGAATAATTATTTTTTAATTATATTTTTCCGTTTGTATTTTTAAATGGTTTTTCAATTTAAATATATTTTGCTCCTGTATTTTTGGAATTAATCATTTTTATTTGTTTTTAATTTAATTTATATTGTTTGGACATTTTAATGTTAATTAAATAAACATTTCTTTTCCAATTTCCCAGTTGATTTAATTTAGGGAAAATAGGAAAATGAGTTTAGTCCTCTGCGCCCTCCCCTTTTGACCAACTTCCAAATCCTCCTCCACCCCTAAATACCGGCGCTCCGAAGATGCACCAGACCGAAAGGTCGTGGTTGCTAACTGGTAGCACCGGATGGCGTCCCCCTCAAGGTTTTGGCTACCCACCCACCTCTCCCTCCACCCACCTCTCCTTCCTCCTACACTCTCCCCCCTCTTCATCTCTCCCCACCTCTTCCACTTTCCCTCCTCGCTCAATTTTTTTAAAAATAAATTTTAATCCAATTAAATTTTAATTTCTTTCCAGATTCTATTAATCTACCCCATTCCTACACACCCCCCCCCCCCTCCACCTCCGAATCAGAGTAAAAAGAAAACCTAGAAAAAGCGAAGCCGTTTTTGCTCGCTATTTTCTAGGCATCGCTTTTCTTACGACATAAAATTCTTTTGTCCACATTTTTGACCTGCTTAGTCCAATTTTTCTCCCAACTCTGCACAGAATTTACATACAGATAAACATTTTCCATCTTTGCCCTTGAAGAGAAAGTGGGCAAAATTCCGTCGTTTTGTTTTTGTCTGTTGTAAATAAAGAGTATTTTTGCTGTCTATATGTCCTATCAATCTTTGCCCTCGAAGGGAAAATGGGCAAATTTCTTCGGCTTGTTTTTGCCCCATCTTTTTACAATAGACAGGAAAATTGTTTTTCTAGATTGTGCAGATAAATTTTGCCCACTTCCCCGACACTACACACTTTTTGTATTAAAATATTTTTCTTCTCTCTGTCCTTACCCATTGGTCCTATCCTTTTGACTTCAACATTTTTGTAGTTATTTTTCATCTTTTTCTTCCCCATTCATTTAAAAAATCTACATTCTTCTAAGTTAAGAAATAAATATTTTTTATATTAAATTAACTTCGAAAATATAGATTAAAACAATGTCTAAAATTTTCAAAATAATTTTAAAATGTAATAATTTCACCGGTATTCAAAAATCCCCTCCTCCCTCTACAAAACGTACATTTCACGATTATCCATTTTATGCTCTACAAATTTTTCAGTTAAACAAAAATGAAAAAAAATTTTTCTTTCCAAATTATTCCCTATAAATATTCTAATAGAAGTCCTGTATTATATAGAAGCCTTTCTATTTATGTAACCGGTCGAGAATAAATACTAAAACTTCTATTAGGAATATTTACAAGACTCAAACCCCTCCCTTCTAATTATCCTTGGTTGTTTGTTTGTTTTTGAAGTAAAATTTTTTGGCTTTCCGTGTTTTAAGTAACACTAGAAATGTCAAAAAGTATTTTAAACCCCCACTCTATTTTTACAATTGTCATAATTTTTCTAATCATGGATTTAAATTATTTCTTTAAAATTGTGATAATTGTTGAGAAGTTGGGAAAATTATTATATATACCCAAGGCAAAATAGTAAATACCCAAGCCAAAACAATTCACAACGCCTTAATTCAATGGATATCCAGGAATTTGAAACCCGATTTAACTCTTTAGAAATAAACAACGACCCGCATAATCTCAAATCTCTAACACTCACTCCTCCTGAAACAAGTACTAGTAACACACAACCTGAAAAACCCACCGATGAACTGACACCCCCGGCCAAACTCGAAAAATGGGAACCTTCATCTAGTAAACCCAAATTTTCTATCGCACCTTTTATTACAAAACTCTCTTATATTCTTCTACTTATTATGCTTCTTCCAGGAACCTTAGCAGCCCCTTTGATTAATAATTATCAAAACCCGATGGTGTGTCAAACCGAACAGCAAGGAGAATACTGGACCCTCCCTAATTTTGCTCCTTGCCCTCGACTTAAAGCAAATAGAACTAGAACCCCTGTCACCCAAAATATTCGGCTTTATCGCCTCAATGCTTTTCAGCAATCGAATGAAGCATGGGCGTGTAGGATCATTAAGAAAGGGGAACAAGAATACACAAACCCAACAAGTGACCTTATCAAACGAAATATCCAACCAATAAACCTCCCTGTCACCCCTCAAAACTGTAAGGAAATGGTCTCTCGTAAAATATGCAAATTTGGAACTTTAAAAGAAGAAGCAGGTCTGTGGCATACAGATAACCGCATCTTCTATGAAAAAAGATATCCAATATTTGGCTGGTCTTGGCGCTCCCACTACTCTTTTAATTGTTATATTTTTAAAACCCAAATCTCTGTCCCTCACGAATCCGAACTGTTACAATCTCCTCTAGGTTCTATGAGTCACTGTAGTTATCGGTTAGGAAGTTGCACTCTCTCGGATAATACGACATTAATATGGGAACCCTCTCCCGAAAAACAATGTCGATTCATCCGAGTAGGTGAGTATTCAGGAAAATTCATGGATGATATATGGTTAGGAGACACCATTGAACTAGGCCTTTCATTAAACACTAAAAATCCGAAAATTTTTGATTGCAATATCTCTTTACTCTTAACCGAACAGGGTCTCGCTTATGAGAAAATCAAAAGCAAACCCTCACCTAAAAGAGTCAAAAGATTTTCATCATCGGAATGGAACTGGAATCACGAAAGCCTTCTCACAGACAGTCAATTAGAGGGACAACTTACCTACTTAGACCATGAGATGAAGGAATCCCTCACTTTCCAATTCACCCACTCTCTCCATCAGCTTTGTGAGTTCGCCGAGGAAACTCGAAAGTGGACCGCAAATGCACTTCTTTCTAACCCAACTACCCTAGCCCGAGCTATTTTAAATAACCCGAACGTAATTGCTAGACACATCTCAGGCAATACGCTCAAAATTTGGCCTTGCATTTCACTGACCCCCTCCCAATATAGAATTTCACCAACCAATCTTGACACATGTTTCGATCTTTTACCTGTGCTTATAAAAACACAAGGAAAAGACGAATTAGCTTTTCTTGATCCAACCACTTTAATAATCTCACCCAAAGCCCGTAAGGCTCCATGTACCCAATACAGAAAAATACCAGTACAAATTAACGGCACGCTTAAAGAAATAGACCAAATTACTGGCGAGCAAACAATACTATATACTCAGGTCCTCACCAGTAAAACCTTTCATGAAATTAATGCACCGAAAATTGTCCCTCATGCTTTTCATCATCTAGTTCTTGTAAATCTCACCGATATAATTTCACATTCCTATCTTTCTAGTCTAACTGAAATTAGTCAAATTACTTACCGAATTGAAAACCAGAACTCCGCTATTAGATCCACTATGTCAACTGAATGGGAGCAAGTAAGAAAAGAAATCATTAAAGAAACAATAGGTGACTGGTCCGGAACCCAAAATACTTTTTGTCTAATAGTCTGTGTAGTCGCAGCTATAGACATACTCATTCGATTATCTGCCTTATTACTCGAAAATTACCTTAAGAATTTTACCATAATTCGTGCTATTGGAGCTAGGATAGCTTCAAAGCAAAACAATCCGAATCCCCCGCCAATTACCAAGGAAAAGTCAAAAACTGAAGGTGATAAGAAACATCAAGCCTTGTTCAAAAATCACCCTTCACAAATTGTCTTAGAACTTGGTCGCCCACTCGAGGGACAACCAAACAAATGGCCTCCTTCTGCAACCAAATTTCCTCTCTATATTCCACCTAGTCCCGGACCCAAACAGCAAATTAATAATCCACCACAGAAACTTAATAAGCCCAAACGCTCTCACTCATCTAGTGTACTCATTGGTTGTTCATACGCCCATCAACTCCTCCCCGTAATAAATGTAACATTTGATTCAATGAATGTTGACTGCCTAATTGATACAGGATCAACATTATCATTGTCTACAATAGGCTTAGCAGTCTCCTTGGGATGCCAAATTGAAGAAGGAGAAATAGTGGTAACAACCCCTTCAGGCCATAATGTCCCAATTACTGGAAAAACCACGGTAGAAATAATAATCTGCACACACTCTAGGGAAATTGACCTCTATCTGGTCCCAGACGATAAATTTATAGGTGAAGGATCATTCCAGGCAGTACTAGGATGCAATCTCTTCGCACTTCTCCCCTCAATCTCGATTGATTTTGTCTATTCCCTCTTCTATGTAGGTGAGGAGGGCACATCACTTATTTATCCGAATATCCTCGCACCAATTACTTTTGCTCTCCACAATAATCTTTATAACTCCACAATCACCGCATACATAAATAATTCACAATTCCGATGCCTCGCTGATACGGGCGCGACCTTTACAGCAGCCCCACTAAGCCTAGCTGAGAAGTTAGGTAGTCCGATAAAATACGAGAAACTAGGAGCCATAAGTGCCTCTGGACACCACATGCCTATAATTGCTTCTAGCAGTACACAAATTTGTGTCGCTGGATATGTAATTCCCCTGGAAATCAAATTTGTTGATGATAAGCACTTTCACAGCACTAAAGATTATGAAATAATCTTAGGATGTGACACCTTTGCCAGACTTCCCCCGTTAACCTTTAACCACAATGCAAACACCCTAACTATTGGAAGTAACACAACCCCAATGGGAATCATTCAAAGGACTCGATCCTCGATAGGAATCCGAGCCTTTAATTCAATTACAATTCCCCCTGAGAGTCAATGCCTGGTTCCAATAAAAGTTGACAACTCTGACAACCCCAGCACATTGTCGATTGACACTTTAGACGGAAGACTTGCCAAGCAAGACTTCAGTCTAATTCCCACTGTTATTCAACCAAAAAATAATTTAGCTGTGCTCCCTCTCATTAACCCCACCCAGGAACCAAAAAACATTTATCGGAACATGACTATAGCATATGCGACGGAAATAGTTTTTGATCAAGACCTATCACTTTTTAAGGAAAGCCACTTTGACTCAATTACTTCTATAGAAATTACTGACAAGAAATCTCTATTAGAACCTGACCCGACTTTTACAATAGACTTCACAAAATCTGCCGCAAAAGGACCAGATTTGGAAGATCTAAAATCTCTATGTGATGAGTTCTCTGACATTTTTAGTAAGTCACAATATGATTTAGGTTCGTGTAAAGCAGGATCTCATAATATTGTAACTACAACCCAGGAACCAATTACCTCCAAACCACATAGGACCCCTTTCAAGTACCGCGATGAGTTAAAGAAACACATTGACCAGTTACTAAACTCAGGAGTAATGATTCAGTCGGATACTCCATGGGTATCCAACCTTGTTTTGGTTCAGAAGAAAGATGGAGGCCTGAGGCCTTGCATCGACTTTCGAAAATTAAACGAAATCACGGTCCCGGATCACTTCCCATTG